CCGCATGATTGACAACTTCTTGAAATTCAGTGCAGTTGTGCTCATTAAAGGAATTCGGAGAGTGCGCTCACCCTTACGTCTTGCCCGAAGATATTAAGTAGTAAACGTACTCCAACAGCATTTCTGGCGGCTGATGGGACACTTTCATGAATTTGACAACATTGCGATGGTCAAGGACATTTAATAGAGCCACTTCTTTCACGAAAAGTTTTTTTTCCTCCGGATCCAGGGCATTTAACATTTTTTTTTTCATGACAACCGTCTCTGGAGGTGTCGATCCTGGCACCTAGTAGTCGGTAGTGTAAATAAACATCGCCAAATGACCCGTGGCCAATACGATCTTTAGGTAGCAGTTTGTTGCAGTCAAACGGTAGTTTGGAAAATATGGAATGCCGGAATTCGGAACCGGAAACAGAATACTCGTAATACCCGGAATGACCGATTAATAAATTTTAAAAAGATAAAAGTAAATTAATAAATAAACAAGAATATTGATGATCAAAAATTAATGTTGAATTCACAACTTAATTAAGTGATTTAATAAGAAATTTTTCTCAAAGGGTCCCAAAAAAAAAAAAAACACTTACCGGCACTGTTCATGGAGATGCACGTATTAGAATTAAAAAAAGTCTGCGTCAGGCCAGTAGCCCATACAGCCTAAGCGACGAAATATTTCTACTTTTCCTTCCCCCTGGATGGGATGCTAGTGCATCACATGGTTACTCCCCGTTTTAAGTTCGCCTGCACCCATTTACACACCTATAGCATGTCTAGCCAGGGCGCCATAACCATTAGGCCTGCACACTTTTCCAGCCGGAACCATTGCAGAAGATTAAACAAATGCAATATTTCCAATTAGTTTAAAAATCCCCGAACTATTACAAATTAATACTCTACCTTAAATAATTATTAACCACTCATTGGGAGCTATCAAAGCACCTAACATTAAGACCAGCTGTCCACAGTTAAAATTGAGAGATCGTCAGTTATTCGACACCGTTTCGCGTCTATTATAAATACCTTGAATATATACCTATAAATATATATCTTGTAGTGATGGATTATTCTAAACAAGGTTTATATTCAAAGGTATATATTCAAGGTATTTATAGCAGACGCGAAAAGGTGTCTAGTAACTAACGATCTCTCAATTTTAACTGTAGACGGCTGGTCTTAATTGTAGCTGCTTTGATAGCCCCCAATTTGTGGTTAATAATTATTAAAGGTAGAGTATTAATTTATAAAAGTTCGAAGCTTTTTACAATTGAACTATTAAACTAATTGGAAATATTGCATTTGTTTAATAGACGGTTCTTTTCAGCCGTTGATTGGTCCATTTTGGATTCTGCCCCTAACAATGATGATCGCTCTAGACAACTGTGTGACATGATCACTGCAGGACCGGACGCTATCATGCCCCCAGTGAAATCTAAGGTTCATCTTAATGACCCTCCGTGGATTACTCCTGAATTTAAGACTCTAATCGCCAAGCGTCAGTAAGCTTTTATGTCAGGGAATTTAGCCAGCTTCCGTCACCTTCGAAATACTGTTAACCGGGAACAGAAAACTCTTCGTGAGAGGTTTTTTGCTTCTAAAGTTGAACATCTAAAGAACACCAAGTCCTCCCAATGGTGGGGGGAGGTCAAGCGTGTCGCTGAGATGACCCCTGCGTCAGGTTCTGACAGTCTGCGTTCGCCACCCCACGTTGAGGGACTGGATCACCATCTTCCAGACCGTGATGTCGCAAACGCTATTAATTCTGCCTTTCTGGACCAAATGAAGTCTTTCTCGCCACTCGATGCTACTCCACCCTTCGAAGCGAACTCGGCGGTGGTAACCATTTCTGAGGTCGATGTTTTGACTGCAATCAGACAGTTGAAGCCCCGCAAGTTTGCGGGTCCCGATGGGATACCTAGTTGGGTGTTTAGGGAATATGCTGACTTTGTAACTCAGCCAGTGACTTCCATCCTTAATTGTAGCTTTGCTGAGCAACAACTTCCCCAATCTTGGAAGCTGGCGGATGTGGTACCCATTCCTAAACAGAAACCCGTCGAAGTCATCAACAAGCACTTACGACCCATTTCCCTCACACCAATAATTTCCAAATTAGCCGAAGACTTCGTGGTATCTGCGTTCATCGGTCCGGCTGTGTTGAAAATTATCTATCCCGACCAGTTTGGAGCCTTACCGAAATCCTCCATGGCCCTAGCTCTGACGTCCATGCTCCATCACTGGACGCGCGCAACTGATGGCACGGGATCTGCAGTCAGGGTGGTCCTGTTTGACTACCGCAAAGCTTTTGACTACATTGACCATCAACTGCTCACTCATAAAATTTACA